GAATATCGAAAATGATTCACAAAGAATATACTCGAAAAACACCAAAGAATTTGGAATGCAATGAGCCAGTTGTGAAAAACCAAAAGTAAAGAATTCAACTTGAGAAACACAAACAACAGCAGAAGAATTGAATACTTGAATTAACTATTCATTCAAAACTATTCCTTATTTGATAAGAAAAAAATTTATCAAGAAATGATTTCACTCAGCCAAATTTCATTAGCGAACGAAAGTGACAGGTAAAGCACGAAAAAAAAAAAAAAGACGACTCCTTATCGGCAACAAGTTTTGGTCTTTTGAACATTTATCGCCAAACATACTAAGTTATTCGTTTCTTAACAGCTGCACTCCTTACTGCCCAAAATCCAAGCTAGTAACTACAACTGTGGATCAGTATATCGCTTTGGTGACAAAAAAACTTAATGCATCAAATCGTCAACAAAAAAATCTGATCAATGCTACTTCAAAAATAAAAAAAAGAAACCTGTAAATTTGAAATTTAAAAAATCTCCTATTTTAAACAAATCTTGCAGTTTTTTCCTTCTCAGCTACAAATGCATGACAGGTCACCTTGACTACAAATCTACACACAACTGTTGGCAAGTCTATGCCAAAGAGTTTCGTCAAGTTTCTATCAAATCCAGCTATACTATTTATAGAGTATAAAAAGGAATAAAAATGTGGCAACAACAAAGAAATTACAGTTCGATTAGGAAGACCCGACCAACAAACAAAAAGCGTGCACAGTGATGATCAATAGGACAAGGAGTGTCAACAAAACATCAGCAGCGAACTGAAGACTAAAAATTCATAAGATAAATCGGAAAATTCGTATTAAACTTCAGTAGCTCCCTAAAGTAAAAATGACTTCAAAAACAAAAAAATTGCTTTAGGGAATCCAAACTGTTAAAGCTAAGTTTAGCAATCTGTTTCACAGCTTCTACCAAATTTCGCAACTTCACTACCCTTCACCAAATTCTAAACCTGATAACTTTGCAGAATTTCTAAACTTCATACCAGCGATATCTTTCCGGCTTAAAACGTTCTACCTAATTTCACTTTAAAAAAGAAAAAATTTCCCTGAATTAGATTTCTATAATGACTATTAGAAGAACCCCATTCTTATGGCTTGTTCGCCAAAAATTTTTTAAAATAATACTTTATAAATGAGAAAAAGTTATTTGTTCAAGCTTATTTTCTTCAAAAATAAATGAACAAACAAACAGCGTTTCTTCAAAAGATTGATGTATGGTGATTCAACGACAAAAATTCAATAACCCTTCACAACAGTCACCTTTAAAATGATAAGCAACTATGTTCCTAAACTATATCACACATGCAGCTACCCTTCAAACAACACCACTCTCATACCTTCATTACTAACTGCTGATCAAACAGTACACTCCTACATACCTACACACAAGCAACATCAAAAAATACTGATACTGCAGTCAAAGAAGCACGCAGTCAGCAAATATTATTTTGCGAGACAATTCAAAACAGCAAACTACGATTCATTTTTGTCAAAATAAAAATTTTGTGTTCATGAATAGATCAAAAATTGCTTTACATTAATCAGCTTAAAAAAGTTAAACTAGACAGCTCCTTTGAAAAAAATGCTGAGCAACAACCATCACAGTTAGAAGAGGTCCAGAAATGAAGACTATTTCCGAAGAAATCTTTAGGGAAACTGATGTTATTATGGAAGCATGGTGGTTGAATAAACAAAAAATCTGCATCAGTTGACATTATAAACCATAAATTTTTGTTATGACAACAAAACACAGTTATTGTACGAAGTAATGCTTGTAAACAACGTCACCACCAAAAAAATGCTTCTTCCTCCGTCATCCATGATAAAAGTAACAAAGATAAATACACGTTTACATAGCGAATATGCACCATTTAACGATGACTAACACTCTGTGAATACAGAATATTGAAACAACAATGCAAATTTTTTGTGCTGCACTATTGTAATATGGGAGAAAATACATTACATTCTGGCTAGTTCTCCAACACTTTTCTTCGACAGAAGAAATGAAGAGCGACACTTGCCAGCTCGACATGCCCATGTGAGAAATACTGAACTAACCAGTGTCAGACACTTTTAAACAAAAATCCTTCCCTCCCACTATACTCAGTCCACTGTAACAATTTCAAATGCTAACAAAGAGTAATGTCAATAAGACAATCAAGCAAATCCAGATGATATCATGAAAAAATGCTGGGAAACATTTGGTAAAGACAAAAGTTTTTAATGAAGAATTTTATGTAAAAGTAGAAGTTACCTCGTGCAGTTTGAAGTAGCCATTAATGAATCACCACAGCGAGAACCCAGCTCTACCGACGACATTGCAGCAGCCTAAAAAAAAGCAACAAAAGTAACTTCCAAACTATGGTTTGAAGATAACTATAAAAATT